TACAGCTGTAATCAAAATTATGTTACCTTGTAATCATGATTACAAGTAATTGAATACTGTAATCGATTATATTTTTGGCCAACTCTGGTACATACGCACATATATGTAAACATTCTGCTTTATTTATACAGATTTTTATTATTTTTGTAACAGTATGTTTGTTCTATTTATGCACTGAGTTGATAACAAAATTGCTTCATATTCTCTAAATATTACGAAATTTAGAGAAACGTTAGAATCTTTTTGATTTTTCTTTTGTGTCATAAATAGACACATTTCCGATTTCAATGCAAGAAATTTTGCTTCAATTTATTCAGGTTTGGAATTAATGGTTTAAATAAACTACATGCGTCTAGTTCGAGAAAAATGAAATCTTTATTTTATCGGAATGCATTTCTACTTAAGTTCCGTTTTTTTTAAAAGTCATCTGAATGATTATGTTCAGGTACGAATATAATTTTTAAATGCATCATTTTGCGTAAAAATGTTTAAAAGATCTATTGTTGCAGCAACGAGGTCAAAATTGATAGAGAGGAATCTGTAAAATGTGGGGAAAATAATCTAATTTTAAACGGAATCACATGTTCCATTCAGTGAGAACAAAACCCAGTACTACTTAATTGAGATTGAAGTAGCCCACTCGCTTAACTACTATTAGAGATTGTATTTTAATCTTTATGAACACTAGAAGATAAAAAAGCAAAGAAAATTTTGTCAAAATTTTGATCGTGGACCGTAACGCAAGGAAAAAAAAAGAAGGAAAATGTTAAGTCGGAAAGTTTTATTTTACCATCTTAATACTACTATGATTCTGTCTTAATGTTTAAATCAAGCAATATTTCGAAGAACTTTTGAAAACTTAAGTATGCCACATGAAAGAAAAAACATCAAAGTTTTAAAATAAACATTTTTTAAAGTGAAACTTTCACACACCGTCATTGTCTATGTCTATTCTAGCAAAAGTGACGTACTTTAATTCGTTACCCTTGGCTTCATAAATTAGTATATCATAATCTTCATAACATTTTATTTATAATTTAAATTAAATACGTGGATCATAAAGATAAGTATTTAATATTTATATCGTTTCCTTTACCTTAAATGTAACTTTGCACTTACAGCTTTAGGGATATACTTTATTTTGTACAATGCGGGTTCCTTTAATCGGAGTTGCGTAGTAATATTTCCTTATTTTATTATTATTTTTTTGTCAGTACCAGTTTATAAGCCTGTTTCATTATTTTGAGTTAGTATTGCGTTTGAGTTAACGAACGTTTGAGTTTGAGAGCAATTATTTGAGCGCGATATCAATTCCATTTCTTTTAACCTGAAATTCTACAATCAATGCATCCCTGAGCCATCATGGCTCAGGGAATAGAGCCTTCGCCTTCCAATGAGGTGAACTGGGTTCGATGCGAATTCCGCATCCGGCTTGCACCGACGAAAATACTGACGCAAAATATCCTCAGTGGTAGACAGATCATGGGTTAGAGTCCCCTTGTAGTCGGGCTAACCGAGGGAGGCTTTCGTTTTCCTCTTTTGTAACGTGAATGCGAGTTAGTTCCATCAAAAAGTCTTCCACGAAGGCAAATTTTTTCCCAATTCTTGATCCAAGAGTTTCTTTGTCTTCTGGATTGGGTTCAAAATTACAAGGCTACGGAGTTGAACATTAGCAGCAGTAGACCCAAAAAATGGGCCGTCTGTTCAACGACGGTTATAAAATCAATGCATCCCTGCAATTTATTTGTTGAGCTTCTGCTCAATGCATAATAAATATATGAAACTAGTTTGCTCTGCCTTTCTACGTTTTTTGTAGAACAGATAATTTTAAACAAAACAGCACTGTAAAAAATCAAATGTACCTTTAAAAAACCTTCATTATTTGCATTTTATTTCTATGTTTACTTTTCTATTATAAGTAGACAGCGGATAATATGCAATTGCATACGTTCATATGCAATTGCATATTTTAGCACTTTTTGCCATTTGTGCATATAAATGCATAAAAAGGTATATTTGCTCTTATAAATGCATATTTTCAGCATTTTATGGCTTTTCCCTCCTAAAACCATATCACTATTCTTTTTATGTTAGCATAAGGAACGCTTTAAATTTTGTTTTGTCGTTTTTTATCACATGAAAGGGTCAGCTGGATTGATGTTGCTGGGGGTGATTGCAATCACGTGAAAAAGATGTAGAAATGAGGTGTGTGTCGGGAAGGGGGTTACAAAGGGCCCACCCATACAGACATTCGTCATAGAAACCTCAGAAAAGGATGGCCAGATATTCTATGAAGTGATGTCTTTTCCTGGAATAAATAATTGTCAATCTGTGTGGGGAAAATAAGGCTTCTGTGGTAGGTAGAAAATGACCTCCCTTTCCTGTGATTGATTAGTTAAAAGGTGGAGTGAATACATTTTCGGAGAGAGCTGCTATTCTAACATATTTCGATAGTCCATCCGATAGATAGATAGTTTCGACATCCATCAGTTGAATACGTAGTTAGTGAAGCTTCGAACGTGATTTTTGACTGCTGAATTTTATAATATGACTAAATAATATAAATCGACTAAATCAAATTTAATGAAGACATGGATTTCGGACTATGGGAAGGACTTTACGACCGATGGGGAAATAGTATTTTGTGTGATTTGTCAAAAACACATTTCCTGTGAAAAAAAGTACCAAATTGATCAACATATAAAGACTAACGCTCACTCCGCGAAGAAAAAGCAGAATAAAAAGGATTTGTTCAAAGTTCTATTCCTGTTCAAGCAGCTAAAAAGGAAAGTGATTTTTCTAGTGATTTATGCAAAGCCTTAGTAAGCAGTAATATTCCTTTAAAAAAGTTAAATAATCCAAACTTAAGACAGTTTTTAAAAAAATATTGTACCAATCAGATCATTCCCGATGAATCGACTTTAAGAAAGAACTACCTTCAACCGATATATAACGAAGTACTGAATGATATTCGACGAGATATTGGAGATGGCCCTATATGGATTGAAGTCGATGATACGACAGATAAGTGCGGTCGCTATATTGCTCATTTTATTTGTGGAAAAATGGATAATATTCTTACTCGACCACATCTTCTAGCAAGCAAAGCCCTTGAAAAAGTCAATCATTCAACCATAGCAAGGTTTGTCAATAATTCTATCATATTATTATGGACTGATAGAGATGGTTCTGAAGATGTTTTGATTTTGTCAGTGATGCCGCTCCGTATATGGTCAAATCTGCAGCAGCACTGGAATTTTTTTTTTATCCCAGAATGCTTCATATTACCATGCTGTTCGCAGACTGGCTGAGACTGTTCAAGAAGTATTCTCCTCTGTGAATGATTTAATTTCTAGTATCAAGAAAATTTTTCTCAAGGCACCTGTGCACATAAAATTGTATAAAGAAATGTATCCTGACTTGCCCTTACCTCCACAGCCTGTGATAACTAGGTGGGGTACATGGATTGAAGCTGCACGTTTTTACGCTAATAATTTTGATGCAATAAAGTCAGTTGTAGATGCAATTGACAGTTCCTGTGCTTCTTCAGTTTATGTCACAAAAGAATTACTACAGGATATCTCTTTGCAGAAGGACTTGGCCATAATTGACATTCTTTTTTCTTTCTTCGATGCTCGAAACACGAGGTCTTCCCCTGGCTGAGGCCATATCCGAAATTGAAAAAATTCAACAGTGCATCAATGCTCTTCCAGACTCAGTTGGGAAGAAAGTAAAAGAAAATTGGTGTTCCGTTCAAAACAAAAATTCGGGTTTTGCAGCAGTGAAGAAGATAAATGATTTTCTTAATGGAAACGGAACTGAACTTCCAGAGAAAGTAAAACCAATGAGTACGAAATTGTACCAGTTTTGTCCAATAACGTGGGTAACATCGGTTAACGTGGAGAGGTCATTTTCTGCTTTCAAAATGATCTTTGATGACCAACGACATCAATTCACCCTTGAAAATTTGGAAAAACACTTAGTTGTGTATTGCAACAAAAATTTTTCAGTTTAATAAAATCTTTCCGGAAAATGCGATGATTTTTCTTCTCTCATTTATCATACTTCAGTTTTAGGCTTTTTTTTTCAGAAATGTGTAGATTCAAGTAAGAAATATTTTGATTTTCTTCCTTTTAACAAAAAAATGTTTTAGCTGTGTTTGTTGGAAAAAGTAAGTAGTAGTATTTAAATAAGTTGAACTTTTAATTTCTATTTTAAATGCATATTTCTAGTTTTAAGAGCATATATTCAAGTTTTTTAGTGCATATTTGCATACATATTTTGTCCGTTTTTTAGTGCTCGTGCAGATAGATAGTAGAATATATAAATAAAGCATATAATATATATAAGTAAAATATATAAATCGAAAATAATAGAAGATACGTATGTAATGCACGCATTATTTTAAATAAATTGTGCTATATTCTATATATACAGATTCACATTTATAGATGATGCCAGCCTGAATTCTATACTCACATTTATATATTTTTTAAACATTTTTTACATGCTATATTGTCTATTTTATTGTGAAAATAAATTATTTTTGAGCGGAAAAGAGCTTAGAGAAGAACTCAAGAATATTTCATCCTTGCGACAAAAGGAAAAAAAGGATGCAAATAATTGTATTGTTTCAGAGAATAAAAGCCGATTACGATTTTTTTTTTAAAAACTCTTGACATTACATACATATTTCTTTTAAGAGAAACAAATTTTTCTCTCTCCTTTCTAAACGAGCTTACAGTACTTTTGTTTGCATCAATTTTTTTATATCAAAATAAATAAGATTGAGAATAAATTCTTATAAATAAGAAAAGAATAAAAGAAAAACGGTTCCGTTCGCTGTGTAAAGTAAGATGCAAACGATCGATTCGGACATACTAAATCCTATCGCATTCCACCATTCCCTTTTTCCCAATGATGATTTCCCTGCGTTGAACGACCTGCTCCGTTTACCTGTTGGATAACAGCGGAGGGCATAGATCTACTTGGCACGGAAGTTGGCGATAAATGTCTATGCGATTCTTGCCAATTCGTGGTGTACCTAGCTCTTCTGATGCATCATGCGCGGCCGATAGTCTTCGCTTTTAAAACGCGACTGGAACGTTGGAACACACCGACGGAATGAGGAATCCTCAGTCCGATTAAAAAGATTTTTTCGATTCTTCTTTCCCCTGTTGTTAAAAAAGCAGCCAACATCAAAGTACTTTTGATTGGCTCTTTTCAGGAGACTGTGATTGTTTCATGAAATAAATAAAAAAAAAAGGAAAAAAGAGATATCGTTTGCTTTTTTTTTCGTTTGCCGCTTTCGGGTAAAGCAGTAGCTTGATAATTAATTTGAAAGACATAAAAATAGTGTGATTTTTATCGTTTGCAAAGTGATAAAACTAAAACGATGGCGGGAGCACAATCTGGCATTCATGTTGTACAACTGAAACCTATCGTGGTTCCCCAAGCCATGCAAGAAGGGAACAAATTTGTCAAGTGGGATGACGTGAGTTTTTATACTTGATTTTCTATTTGGCAGTTGTCGGATGCCAACCAGTACATGTCAACCTCCCCATTTGTTGACTTAAATTTAGAACCACGTGCTAAAAGGAATCATTCTTCGTTTATTCTTTTGAACCTGTAGATTCAACTTAAACAATGACTTTCAAAAATGAGAATTCGAATCCAACCTGCACTGATTGGCGTCCGAATATTTAATATTGAAATTAATGAATGAACTATATTCTAATTGATATTTATGATTTTAATATTCACTATTAAATTATAGAAATCGAAAAATTATGATGATAAAATAAACACTTTTAAGTTATAAAATATATGTTTAATGTCATTGTAGTTTTAATATTACATATTCATATTTATTAGTAAATTTTTTTAAAAAAAATGTATAATTATGGTTATGGAACATTGGAATAACATTCGAAACTCGGAGAGTAGTCGAACAAATAATGCTTTCCGAATAATAAAAGAATTATTGTAGTACAGCCATATGTGTGTAAATTACAAAAACAAGAAAGTTAATTTAAGTGTTTATCAGAAAATATTATGCAGTTTGCAGAATTTTTCTTTTATGTTGTTGATAGTAAGTCTTCGCAGAAAATTTCTGTACAATTTAATGTGGTGATAGCCATATTCGATATTTTCATTTAATAGGGCGAGTCATATGACCTTTCTAAATAAACAAAAACAGATTCAACTATGTTTAGATGCCATCATCATAAAATTAGACAAATATAATAAATCATAAAATTGATATTTTAATACTATTTTTGACTATGCAATATCTTAAAATTGTTAATTATTAATAACTATGATAATGGGGTTTAAGCACGAAATTTTGTGTTTCATAGGGGTTAATATAATATATATTTAACATTCGACAGTAGAATTAAGACAATTAGCAATATTAAGCTTAGCGTTATAAGCAATATTATTGTTTTAAATTTGTAATTGCTTAAGGGATAAAATAAATCTGTTATATTTTTATTCTAAATTATTTTATTTAAATTTTCCCCAGTTAATTAATCCTCTAAAACAGCTAATGTAAAATTATTTATTGAAACTCATAGTAACTGTTGCCATCATAATTTTTTTCTTCAATATAAATCGTTTTCCTGGCTGTAAGGAAACGCAAAAGACAGTATTGTTACACAATTAAATCATGATTGAATTTATAAAATATATTATCTGATAATAATAGTAACATGATTTCAAATAACGTTTTTTTTCTTCAAAAAAGGGAAGCATGGAGCGATGTTACAACATAGGTTCCAATAAAATAGCTCAGTTATTCATTAGGGAGAGGGCAGTGGGGTTATGATTGAAAGCAAGAGGGCTTCATCTACTTCTTCTACATCATGCATTGTCTCATATAAATTATGCAAAATATAAGACTAAGATTAAACTATGACAATATAAAGAAATAACTGAAAATATTTTAGGTACATATTGCATTATATTTTGTATTTGTTGTTATTCTAGTAATGTGTGTAAATTTGTCAAAACGGAGTGTAGAAATTGAACACGAGAAAATGAAACTTTTTCTTCTGTTTTTCGTTACATTTTTAATGGCGCACACTCAATAATTTGTGCTAAGAAAATTGAAAATGAAGTTATAGCTTGCAAAGGTTTAAAAAACTGTATAATGACAATAATTATAGATATTTTTTTACATTTGATGGCGAAAATGCGATAATTTAGAGCATCTCTTTGCAATGTTTTCACAATATTTGAATTACCTTGTCTCGTAAGCAGTAAAGCGTGCTGAACTACGTTTATTTCTTCTTTTTTTTTTTAAACTAATGATTCAGTCATTTTTCAGAATTTGAGAGAAAAACTTTTCCTACCCATCTCAAATAATTAACATTCATTAATAATTAACACAATTTGTAAAAATGAGTTTATTAGTAATTAAATATATTTAATAATAATTCAATGTATTTATAATAAATATAAGTTTACTAATAATTAAATATATATATAATAACTGAATATATTAAATATATTTCTAAAGATTGGCAATAAATTTATTTATAGGAAAATGTGACGAAATTTGATTTGTAATACAGAATATATTGTTATAAAGAAATTTATTTGTAAAGAGAATTTGATAAAAATTTAACAGAGAAATTTAAAAGACCATATTTGTAGAGGCACTCATAAAATTATTTTGTGGCACTTATATAATTTGTGGAGGCTCTTCTAATAAAAGTGTGCTTGGTATGGAACAAAACTTCATTATTATTTAGAAAATATTAGCTCAATAAAAAATAAAAATAAAAATAATATAATGTATGGGATACATAATGCATTACAAATGAATCGAATTAAGTAAAATGTCAAAATTTGTCTGCCTTGTTGGATACATATTTATACTGTGGTAATTATATAGGCAACTGTGGTTGTCAAAAGTATTCATTTACATAAAGCATCTTTCTATTCTAAGAGAGTTGAATTTTGTTTATTATGTCATTACCTGGCTTCATTAGCTGAATCAGTTTTTCAGATGTCATTAGCTGAAGTTTGAATTCAAATATTTAAATTTAAGGAGAATTTACTTAGCTAACATGTTTTTAATAGCAGTAATACTTAAAAAAAATTGAATGTAATAACGCTAAAAGTAAATTTTACTTATCAGAAAAGTTTTATGGTAACAATTGAATAATTTTTTTTATTGATTTGTGCGCTCAAAAATATTTTCATGTTTGCAGTTTTTATTCTAACGAAATTTAAAAATTTAGGGAGTTTTTATTTATAAAAAGTATATTATATTTGAAATCTAATTATTTCTGTTTGCATACTAAAGTAGTAATATTTATTTCTGAAATTTCGCTCCAATAAAATCTCCGTAGAACGTGACAAACGTATTATTAATAATGTATTATTATAAACGTAGACTTGATCAAATATCAGGTAGATAGTGCTGATATTTGTAATGCTTTTTCAGTTCACTAAACTGTCTAGACGTTTGTTAACTCCTTTGTTATTGGGAAAGTAGGAGCTTGAATACAATATTGCTTTATAATTTTAAAACTGAATGACAGGAATTATTATTGTATGAAATTAAATTAAAAACTTATTGTTTATCAATACCAAATATTAGTCAATTTATCAATTATCGGTTTAAATGTTGATTTCGAAAATTTCTCAATGCAACAATTCTAACTCAAAATCTAAGTAAGAAAACTACTGATATTTAATTGGAAAATTGCATGCACTGTAAAAAATTCTTTTTCAATTTTCAAATTACAGTATAAAGTACGGGCAAAATCTATTGTCTGTGTATCTGTAAGATCTATTTTTACTTTAAAATATGAAAACGAAATTTTTACAGAAAAATTTATTTAATTAGAGGGATTCAGTGATTTTACGTTAATTATTGTTATTAAAATTACGGTGAATCAGATTTTTTCTTCCGTAACATGTTCCGTTCTAAATGGATTTTATAATAAATAGTATCGGCACCTTGTGTGCTGGTACGTTTTACCGTAATTTGATCCGAAATTTTATACAGTGTCTTCTTAGAAAAAAGAGTTATTCTTTTTTCTCAATGAAATATATTTTTGTTATTAAATTTTACCATTGGATAAAATTTAAATGGATTTAAAGTATTTAAATGCGTAAGTGAGGGATTTCATTTGATGTATAAAAATAAGTTTGTATGAACGTAAAAACCCACAAAACTTCTTAAACTTTTAATAACCTTTCTCTGCAGTTCGATTTGGCACTTATCGAAGAATGTAATGACATGCATACTTTTTTCGTCTTCACTTAAACAAAGCGTCCTATAGCATTAACTTTTTCCAAACTTTTTTTTTGAACTGGTTCTATCACTCATGTTTTATAAATCGATTTTAATCTCCAATTAATATGTTTAAACTTCTCACAATTTATATGAGGTTTTTTCTCAATATTATGAATTAAATTTAAGAATCCAGAGAAAAAACATTAAATTTTCTAACTTAAACTTTTACAAGAGTTGACGCGAAGCTGTGCTCTCAAGAGGGGTTATCTTTCTTCAGAAATCACTATTTTCAGATATGGAGGAATACTAGAAATACTGAAATTTCAGTCATGACCCTGGTAACGGCCATTTATTTGTAAGAAATGACACGTATGGGTACCGGAGTTGAAATTATTTGGATGATATTAGTGGTTTAAACTTTGAACTTTGCCTTCCTGCTGTATTAGTTTTGGAGTAACATTACTTTAATAGCATATTTTTTATGTACTACAGTATTAGTGAATAGATTACAATTAGTTCTCAATAATAATTATAAATTTTGCATGTAATGAGGTATTTTTAAATTATTACGTATTATATTAAATATATCGCTTTTGTAATGTAAATTTTTATGTAACAAGTGTTTAAGTTTTTTTTTTACTGCGGTATTATTTAAAAACTTTTGAAATTATAAGAGCCGTATGCTAAAAATGAATTAGATTATGCTATGCATTTCGCAGCTAGTTGAATAAATCATTTTTTAAGGCACAATATTTCAATAATTTTTTAATGCATTTTACAAGTTTTTAGTGTGATGAATAATATTTCATAGGCTAAAACTAAAAATGTAATTTCAAAAGTTTTATTATTCGTAGCACTTAAGAAGTTTTACTAAAAAAGTTTTTTTTTCCTTTTGATTTCCTGTTATGCAGATAAACACTTAAAATTATAGCATTGTAATTTTGTTTTTTTATTTTCAGTTTGTGGTAGAAGCTGGTCAAATTTTAGGATTTTTTTAAAAATATCTTTTGAAATTAGATTGCACCTATGCAAAAAACTGTGGTCAAAGCTTCTGAAATATGGTAAAATTTGCTGTGTTTCTGGCTCTATGGAAAAGTAAAGAAACTTTGTAAATTTTACCAAAGTGCTTTGATAACTGTTTTGGCAAAATTAAGAATAAAATATTTAATTCATAATTTGTGGTAAAATTAGGCAAATGATGCAAAAATTGATAATTTTAGCAAAATACCACAGACCAAGGC